CTTGTAGTGCAGCCAAAGCACAGTGTGGGTGAGACAACTAAAGATGTCTTTTCAAGTGAAACAAAGAAATTAATTAAAGCCAGACAGGAAGCGTCTCTGATGTGACGTCTAGCATTGTACACATCTCAGGCTGCAGGCACCACAGGGAGGGTGGCAGGTGGTTGCTGGGAACCTGAGCCAGACCTCGACGTGAGTAGAGAACCCCTCGTGAGGTCCAGGGCGGCGACCACTGTCAGTGCTGGTGAACAGGCTGGGTGGCCCACGCTCATAGGGAGGGAGTCAATGTCGAGTGTGCGCGCGCTTGTGTATAAGTGTGTATGTATGTGTGTGCATGTATGCAAGTGTGTATGTGTGTATGCATGTGTGCATGTGAGTGTGCGAGCATTGTGTAGGACCCGGGCAGGGGAAGGGGGAGAAAGACTTTAAAAGAGCCATGATGGTGACGAATGGGCATCTTTTCTGTTCCCCATTGAGAAAGGACAGGGTCGCTGATGAAAGGAGCAAAGAGAGCTAAAGGTGTTGGGAGGCTACATAGTCTGGCACTTTCCTGTATGTTATTTCATGCAATCCTTTGTCCCATTTTTTCAGGTGAGTAGACCGAGGTAAACAGAGTTCTCTTGACCTGACAAAGGCTGAGTGGTGGGTAAGTGACATTATTGGAATCGGATTTCTGGTCTTTGACACCAAAGCAAGTTTGCAGACACCCGTTCCCCAGGCTGCCTCCCCAGGGTCCTTTCCTGCAGGCCCTTCCTGGCACCAGCTAACACTGTGACTTACTAAAGGCGACCTCGGAGGAAACGCTTTGCCTCCCAGGCCTCCATACGCTCAACTGCACAAGGAGGAGGATGAATTAGGGAAGATTCCTTCTAGGTCCACCATCCTGTTTGTGGAGCCCGACAGATTGTGTGGGGCAGGGTGGGGTAACCCTGGACTAATCTGGACTAACTCTGGACTAATCTGGTTGGTGGAAACCTCCCCTCATCAGCCCCAGGCCCACCTAACGGCATGTAGTTTCCCCAAAGCCGACTTGGAGCACTGACCCCCACTGTTAGAGGGCGGAGGGGCACCTGGCTCGGTGAGGGCTCAGTGCTGACCTGATGAGTGAATGAAAGATCAGCTGGCACCCAGCGCTCCCTGGGCCCCCTGTTGTGAGTGGGGGATTGGGAGGTGCCATGTGCAGGGGATAGAGAAGCGCCTGTACCCACCCCAGTTTAAACAGGTATTTACTGCCAGGGCCACATGGTGGTTGGATTTTTTTTTAAAGGAGACACGATCCAGTTCCGGCGGGTTGGCTGAGTGACTGACTTTGATGTGGTTGGTACTTTGCAGACCAAAGGAGATGTACAGCTCATGTGATTGTGGAGAAGGGAACGAGGGAAGGTTCCAAGCCGCTGTTTCTCTTTGCTGTAAAGAGGGCAACCCAGAGTACCAGGTCTTTGTACCTAGAAGCCCATTAATTTGTCCTATGGTGTGTCAGGAAGGACCCGGACTCTGTGGGAGTGGAGAATGGGATTTCACAGTGTCTTCACGTGGGGACATTGGCAGGTGACAATGTCAAGAGAACGTCCTGGGGGTGGGTGCCTGCAGTTCCTCCAAGATGCGTAGTGTCCAGTTCTGACTGTCACCATCAGCAGCATCTGTCACCTTCCCAAATGTTCCTTGGGAGTGGTTGCGAGGGAAATTGGAAAGATGGGGTGTGGGCCATGGTTGGACAGGAATGAGAATGTTGCAGGAGCTAAGAGACAGCGAGACGGTGGTTTAAGGGGCAGGAGCCATGCTCTCTTGCTCCTTGGAAACCCCGGGCAACCTTGGACTTTCCACTCTACGTGGCAGGGTTTGGTTTGAATTTCAGAGGATGCCTGACCTTAGCCGAGACCCACGAGTGTGAGGGGACGNTTCTCCCGCTCCTTGGAAATCCTGGGCAACCTTGGACTTTCCACTCTACGTGGCAGGGTTTGGTTTGAATTTCAGAGGATGCCTGGCCTTAGCCGAGACCCACGAGTGTGAGGGGACGTGTGGTTTAGGAAGCGCGTTAAGGCAGGGCCCTGGGTACACCTGGCTGCTGTGCTCCAGGGTGCAGGGGACCCACAGGTGCTAAGGGAGAGGGTATTTGTAACAAGACGTAGATGGTCAGCAAGTGGAAGACACTGGGGACAATTGAAAGTCACTGGATCCAAGTAGATACAAAAAAGAAAGAAGTGAGAAGCATCCGAGGATTAAAGACCATTTAGAAAAATACTCTCAAAAGACACTAACAATAATCGTGCCGGATCACAGTACAATTCAAAGATCTCTGAACTGAAAACACTTCATTTTTAAAAGCTTCCCAGTACTTAATGAGAATGAGTAGAGGAGAGAGTAGGGAAAATGTTTTTTGTGGGAAAAATTATTTTTACCTCAATTTCAAAAATGAGCATTGGGTGCTGCTGGCCTGGCCAGTTTAATTCTGGTGCGTTCTTTCTTACTGCCAGCTGCTGGCTGCTCTCCACGTCCCTGCGTGTCCACCCACGACAGTGCCTTGACTACGCTCGCCCATTCCCTGGACGGTGGCATCTGTCACCCAGTGTTTTCTGGGGTCATAACATACTGTGCCCCTTATTCATCAGGCTGGGGTTAATGCAAACTAGGTTAGTGGGTGAGAACTTGGATCTTTTGGCCGACCCTGTACACACAAGGAGCCACTGATTGCCTCATGTCAGGTTAATCATGTTTCCGTGGAAACTCCATAGCTTTCCAATTTATTATCATTGGAGTTTACATCTCCCTCCCTTCCTCACTCATGCCACGATATTACCTAATATCTTGCTCCAAGAAGCTCGCCCCCCACCCAAGTTTTACAGGCTGCATCAGGTCATTCAGGCCTTCCCTGACCCCCAACGTAAACGATGCCATCTCTTACCTTCCCCTCAACAAACCAAGGCATTCTCTATTTCATCACCATTTTATTTACTTTATTCCACCTCATTTATTTACTCATCATATGATCTGGGGCTTGTTTGGGTAACCATTTCTTTTCTTTCCCTACTCGAATGTGAGGGATTCTTGCCTGTTTGGTGGGCTGCTATGTCCCCTTAGTCTACACTAGTTATTAGGAAATAGTAGGTACATAATAATTACTTCATTGGGTAGTCAGTCCATTCCTCTGACTTGCTTTCTGAGAAGGATAATTCTGGTGACAGTATGAAAGGCAGCAGAGAGAGAGTTAGGATGGGGACGGGCTGGACAAAGGCAAGAATGACAGAGACAGAGAAGCCCCGAGGCCCAGCAGGCTGCCCCGTGTTGATTCACGTCCCCTTGAGCAGGAAGAGCTGGGTTTTCCCAGCTTGGAGTCTTGGTGTTGGCTGCATCCCACGCCTGAGTGCTCTTTCTCTGGCTTACCCTTTTGGTCTCACCTTAACTGCCATCTGTTCACAGGGCCTTGCTGGAAAGCAGATCTCCAGAGACAGTACAACCAGCAGGGTCCTGAGGTGCTGACGCTGAACACCCTGAGCATTTCAAGGTCAGCACTGTGGCCATTAAGATGTGAGCTCCAACCAGGCAGGAGCCTGCCTTTTCAGCACCTGGCACATAGTAAATGCTCAGTAAATATTTATGGACTGAATCAATAAATCGTTTTCCTGCGGTTTCTTTTGTTTTCCCATTAACTTGCTTTTCTAGTTTGATGTTGCAGTTGTATATTGTTTTCTTTTGGACGTGAGCATTTAAAGCTGTTTATTTTGAATGACTTGTGTTTTAACAGACAACGCTGCCAGGTGCTGATGCTGTTTATCTACACGTCAGATACTTCCTTTCCTCCTCCCCCTGCTTTTTGGGCTGGTTTAACTTGGAGGACATCTCTGCCATGGGACTCTGCCATCGATTCAGAAATTCAGTCACAGAGAGGCTCTGGGTAGGGGAAGAGCTCGGCATAAAATCCTGCGGGTTTATCTACACTAGTCACTAGTCCAAGACAGGCTCATAAGACTGGATGATGAACGGGTCAGAGGGCGAGAATGCAGTTCCGATCAGACGTCTATTTAGAGCTTGCTGTGGGGCAGGAAACTGGTTTATGCCATGGGGGACACTTCAAAGCTAAATCATGCCCCCGGGGGGAATGGGGCCACCAGGGAATTGGAGTTCCACTCCAGAGCAAGGACATCGGGTCATACAGATGGAGGAACCATGGAAACAGATGTGACGCTGCTGGACAGTTGGCTTTGGAGCACCTGTGGTTCAGGCTTGAGATTTTAGGAATTGTGAGGGTGACAGCAAATAATTCAGGATGGCAACGTTAAAGGAGCGGAAAGATTGTGAATCATTAAAAAAATAAAAGCAATCATAGTGCAGATTGTATTCACGGAGGGAGGACAGTGCACCAGCCAACCGCTTTCTTCCCTAACAGTGACACGAAGGGCGAGTATGTCTGGCCCACCTTAGCTGGGGTCTCAGAGTCCTCCGCCCCCGTAAGGAGCGCGTGTTAAATACCCACCGAGTCCCAGCATTGCGAAGGCTGCGCCAGCCCACAGGCGACACAACTTCAACCCCCTGGGTAGCCAGGTGGGGAAGCTGGTCCTTGACCCGGGATTCAGGGCAGACTCTTCGCTCAGGGCCTCTGCGCACTGCATGGACATGGGGCCAACAGCTCCAGACAGGACAGGAAGCTCTGCCCACATGGCGACAAAGGAAGCAGGGGCTTGAAGCCAAGATGCCATTTGCCTGGAGGTCCTGAAACCACCTGGTCGGGTTCTGTACTGTTATCCCCCCCTTCCTGTGTGGACACAGGGCACAGAGAAGCCCAGCGGGGTCCTCCATGTCCTCATGGAGCTGGGACTCCAGCTCAGCACTTTTCTGCAGAGTTTGGGGGTGCAGCCACCACACCCCCCGGCCCGGCCATCGGTCACATCCTCCTACCTGTCATGGTGGTGAGCTGGTGGCTAAAATCCTGAACCCGGGTTATACACTAAAAGCATGTAAATGAGCCATTCTTCATCTCCCCAAACACCAAATGAATTTTAACAAGCTTTTTATATAAAACTGACTTTTATTACAATTAAAAAAGAACAAGACAATTTGATAAGTGCCTTTAATTATAACGTACCTGCTATTTACATGTAATTATACTTTATACATAGCTTGAATATGGTCCATTACATGTAAACGGTAAGATATTAGAAGTTAAACTCCAGCCTTTGGGGAACATTCAGAATAAAAATACTATGGGCAGAAACACAGGAAACAACCATTTCAGTCGGTAGGTACCATTATTGGTGGAATGATCAAGGCCTGGCCAAGAGGAGAGTTGTAAATATGCATCGAATTGAAGCTTACTCTTAACATGACAGTATTGCTATTGTTTAAGCCCTAAACATCATACTGGGATCATTAAAAACAATACTGCATCAATTTATGTAGCACCATCCTCCCAGAGTTCAAAGCATTGGTATTTCTCTATATTATTTCATTTGTCCCCATAACATCCCTATGAGGTAGGCACTGGTTGGTATCATTATCTCCACTTTGTAGATGGAGAAACTGAGGCACAGAGAAGTTAATTCATTTGTTCAAGGTCACACAGTAAAGTCAATACTGGAACAGGGACTATAGAGCCATGAGTTTGTCTACAAAACCAATGCTTTTCTTTAAATTATCCCCTCTGAGAATTTACTTTTCCAATAAATAAAAACACGTGCATTTTTTTCTCCCATAAAAATTGTTGAAATACTATTGGCAAGAAACACACACTCTGGGGTAGTTGTTGACTGATGCTACACTCTTCTAGAAAGAGTTGATGGAAGTCTTTTGTTGGGTTTATTTTTCCGTTAGGAGGAGTATGTTTTCCCAATTAAAACAAAGTTAGAAGTCTTTAAATGAAACATTTGAAAGGATGCGTCTAGTGACCTACAAATTATAGTTTTATTAGCCATATTATGCTATCCACAAACCAGGTTAATTCCTGAGTTTATAAAGAAGAAAATATGGAAACAATAACTTAAGACTTTGAGATAGCCTTTCTCATCTATACCTACTTACAGCTTGCTCCTTAAGAGACTCAGAGTGGTGATAATGCATTTTCCAGACACATAAACACACAGGTCAGAAAGCCTTGCTCATGTCACTTAGTTCAGATTTTACTTCTGATCCCTGCCTGACCCCAGAAGCAAGTATGTGGTTGGTACTCTGAAAAATAAAAAATAAAAAATAAAGAAATTGAAAAATAGTGTCAAACAGACTCTCTCAAATGCTTGTTGATGTGAACATAAAATTCAGCTTCCCTGACATTTTCTCCGCTTCTCCCTAAGCGACCAGCACTGTGCTGTCTCTCCCAGGACACTCAGAGCTCTGTGGAGCAGCCCCAGGAATTTGCTTTCTGGTACAGCTCCTGGAAGCACAAGAGAAGCCTGTGTGAAATTATACATTGAAAAAAGGTAAGCAAGCTCATGGGGTGGGTCCTGAACATCGTGCAGGTTCATTTATGGGTTTCACATTAAAAATACATTAAAAACTTGTCAAAGGAATGTTTGAAATCTCTTACAGATAGGCTCAGGCCTTTGGTGTCAGTCTCCTGGGTTAGGGAAGGTCACTGCTATCAGGGGAGCCTCTCCTACCTCAATGGGGACCTCAAGTTAAAAAAATTCTCTTTGAGCTTAAGAAAGGACAAGGGAAGTTTGTTTTAAACTCATGGTTTCCAACTTGCTGAGTTAAAACAAACAAACAAAAGCAGACATTGCAACCAGACAGTTCTGGAGTGCCCCAGGGGAACAGGCTGGTCTCTCTTTTCACCTTAATTGTCCTATTAAGGGTGACAAATTGGTATATTGGGTGGACTTTTAAAAATTAAATGTATAAAGAGAATGAGCAGCTATCTGTTCTGCTAATTTGGAAAAAAATTACACTCTAGGATATCCATTCAAATAATTAAGTATGGAGTTAAGTTCACGTAGAGTGAACTTCAAATGACAACACTAAACTATCAAAACTAATGGTGGCAGATCCTTAGTGTCCAGACCCTCAGCACAGTGTCACTATCCACCTGGCCTAGGCCTCACAGGGGCTGGTTTCTCACTCCATCAGCATTTGCCTAGAAATGGCCAGGTAACTCCAGCTCGATGCTGGAACACTCGTTTCCTCGGGACCTGGGAGAGCAGCTCCAGCTGGGTGGAGCTAACATAACTCATACGAAGTATGTCCCAGGGGAAGGGGGGGGAATAGCTCCCTGGCTAAAACATCTTACACTCAGTTTGTTTTATAAATGATTACTTCTTACCAGAAAGGGCTTTTCCCCTTAAAATAACCAGCATCCTACTTTATGGGAACCTACTGGCCTGCTGTCACAAATATCTACCTTCACTGGGACCCTGGGAGACACGGGGCTGTTTGAGCAGGCAGCACAATTTATTAAAAGTTCTCATGAGAGATGCGGACAAGCATGTACCTGGTCCAGCAAAGCTCACGACAAAGACCCCTGAGCATCTGCTCCCCCGGGAGGATCTGTGGCTTTACCTGGGCAGCCCGCCGGGCAGAAAACCATCCTGGGAACAGCAGAGGGGCTGGGGTGGGGAAAAGGCCCAGGGTCGTGCTGCGCAGAGTGACAGGAGGTGACCTGTGCAGGAGGAGCCCAAGGGAGGCTGGATGAAAGGGTGCCTTCCTGCCCACAATCTTTAAACTGGAGTCAGGGAGGGAAAAATTATAAGCTGAGGAAGCCAATCAGATATTTCTGGACTAAAACTAAGGTTTTAAAATTCCCAATGTTGAAAACAACTGTCCTACTCATTTGTGAATTACATTTGACCACGACAGACACCTTGTGAGACACTGAGTCAAAATGGCAGCCAGTGTCACGAATTATTTTTGAGTAAGAGGAGTACTTTGAAGCCGATCAGGACGGCCTAACGGACAATAAGTCACTTTTTGGGAAACTATTTTTTTGAGGAAAAAAATGCATGAACAATGAAATGCAAATTCCTATTTGTTTAGCTGTATTTCAAATTTCCCCTGGACACATGAGGCATGTCAATACAACACAATTATTTAAAGGTAACAACATCACAACATTTACTGTTGTAACTTTAACATATAGAGAAGTCTGAGGAATAACAATTAACAGCCTTTAAAATCCATTACACGGGTGATCTGAGTCACCTAGAGCCCAATACATTTTTAAAAATACCCATAGTATACAATCGGAGAGCAAAGAAAAATCTAACCTAACTGCATTAAGATAAATGATTACCAAATTGAATGCTTAGAAAAAATTGCCTTTTTAACAAAAATTGCATTTCTCATTTCATCTGGCATGAAGAGGAATCTGAACTACCGTTTCTTAGTTAAATGAAAGAACTGGAAAACCAATGAAATGCTTTATAAATATTACAGACTGGATGTAAACAAACTTCAAATGAGCACTTAAGAGCCTTCTCTCCTGGACCATGATTTTGTTTAATTTACTTCGGTAATTCGGATGATGACTCTCATTTATCATGGTTCCTGGGCTGATCTCTTTAAGTGAAACACTTTCTAAGTGTGTACACCTTGTCTATGCCACAGTCAGAAACAATGCATGGAAGAAAAGATACAACACAGAGCAAGAAACTACTGCCACAGGCCCAGGCATTTCGACTCCATTGAGAACAAAGCCGCATTTAACATCACAGACACACGTTCCAATTTTCACATCAGTCACTTATTAACAGTACACATTACACGTTAGCTTTGCCCAGTTACACAGCACAATGAGCCTGTCAAGACTTCCAGGAAACTACTATCAGTACCTACTGGGCTTCGGGCCGCCGAGGCAAAGCTGGCCGGGCACCAGACATCAGCGCTCGCAGGGGCCTGGCATCGCCAGATCCCACGGAGTCACCTTAGAACAAGGAGCACTGACAACTGTCGCTGACTCATTTACAAAGTCCAGTGAAGTCTTGCACTGAAGCTCTGAGATTAGGGGCCGGGTCATCAGCTCAGAGCAATCACTTTACACGTCAGACCCGGCCGCTGCCTGCGGATTCTGTGGTTTCTGAAGACAGTGCAAGACAGCGGCCCCACGGGAGAGCGGGCTCTGCTTCTACCTGGTGGGGCCACCTGGCTGCGACCACATCCTGGCTCACGCGGCTCCTGGAGCTCTTGGCCAAGTATCTTCTCCATCACCTGTCTGAGTCACATGGATAATCAAACTATTGAAAACACCACTGCTGTTCAGCTAAAAGAATTATGGACACAATTTAAAATCTGAATTTATTCATTAGAAAAATTAAAGGAGAGCAACTTGGGAAGATTTTCCGATAATCACCAAACGGAAACTATTGGAGAATTGTTGTTTCTGTTCTGCTTTTCTGATGATAGTCTTCACACTGGTAAAAAAACATTCAAAATACATCATAGCATAATAGGATGTGTCCTAATTAATTAAGCACCAGAACACATACGTATATATGTATGTGTGTGTGTGTGTGTATGTGTGTGTGTGTGTGTGTGTATATATATATATATATACAAACACACACATAGTTTGTTACTGGTTAAAGTTAGTAAATGCTCTAATTAGAAAAATGAAAATCCAATGTGAGAAAGACATAGTGACATGTTGAGGTTTATTTCTTTGTGTTGACTACCTATTGCTAATTAGCTCTCAATTTGAACTCTTGGATTTTGAGGGCAAATAAATCAGTAGTTTGCTTTTCCCCACAAAGGACACCAGCACCTTCAAAAGCTTTACTAAACTGACAGTGAAATTCAGTGCAGGGCAGGAAACAAATCCACGAGGAAAACACCTACAAAAATGACTTTCTCAAATTTAAAATTTCCTCAAACATTTCACATGAAACAGGTCATACGTTCCTGCTGACTGTATTTGAGAAATAGTAAAAGCAGCAGAAAAAATTCTTGTAAATGTTAAAAATATCTGAACAAAGACATAGATCCTGTTTTTAGGCAAGGTAAGTTTATTTATGAAATCCTGAACTATAAGGTCAAAACAGTGATGACGCATCAGTAAACAGCCTGCGATCGGGTGCCGGTGGTCTACAGAACAGCCATCTCCTGACCTGCGCCCCTGCCCGCCTCAGACCCTCACCCTCTTTCGGCCTGTACGGGAGGATTCACAGCTCCTTTACAGGACATCACAGCTCTTTCCATCCCAGCCATTCTTAGCACTGGATCTCGAATCTGGAGGGAGATGCCAGTGCATCTTTTCTGGTTACATTGCACAGCCTATATTTCAACATTTCTGGGGGAAACTCTGTTAATAAAATTTCAAGGGGATATGACTATTTTTAAAGAGCCTCTCTCTCTCGAAATGGTTTTACACCTTAGAGATGGTACCCACTTCCCTGGCAACAAATAAGAAACACAATAAACTTTGGGGCGGTCAAGTGCTCATTAAGGATGTGACCTCTGCCCGCACAGGGCCAGGTGGGCCGCGTGGTTATCACCATGCACAACAGGAACCCCATGACACAGACACTGTTGAGTCAAACTCATTAATATTAAGCAGCGAAAACACCAGGCAAAACAGGGCCTATGCAGGACGTTAATTCAGAGGCGAGGGTCTTGCAGCGCCCCGATAAACTCCCTGATCTAAGGGCGTTCTGCTGTGACCTTCTAATCAATGGTGAGCGTCCTCACGTACGCGGAGTCTTGATGCGAGAGACCAGGCTGCTTGAAAAATAATGACAACAACCAGTTCGCCCCGGCAGAGCTCACTTTACAATTTCAGAAACGTATTTCAGAGCAGTGGCCAGCCAGCAGCCAGCAGCTAGCAGCTGGTCCTCACCATTTTCAAATGCTTCCCCCTCCCAATGGCATTCTTTGTCATAACGAGTGACAGCAGCAAGCCGATGCGATCTGCAAAGTCAGAGGTCTCACGGTGGCGTGGAATAATCACCTGTCTCTCTGTTTCCCCCTGAACAGGGAGGAATGCTCCCTCTCTGTAGCCTGCGCTGCACAACAGCACTTCAAAGGGTTCCTTTTAGATTAAAAAGTGAACAAGTCCCTAAAGTTGGCCTCTTAAAATCTAAAGAGATGATTAAATCTAAACCAGGCTGATCTCTCAATCTGAGTTACTACAAACACTGATTTTTGTCAAATAAAGGGGGGGGGGATACCAATAGACCATTTAGATTTGCAAGTACTGGACTACAGAGTTGCTCACCGTCTTCTTCAAAATGGAACCAAACCTCAGGAGCTACACCTTCGTGGAGGTAAAAACTCAGTCACCCTTAGTCACATCCTGTTCTTCTTTCCATTTTTACCATTTCAAAATTTTCAATATTTCCCATCACAGACCACTGGCAATGACCATTTCTGGTTATTCCACTGACTTCTGCAAGAGCTAGATGATTTTGACCAGGAGCTCCAAGTACCATTTGTAAAGTCTGAGTCTTTAAAAGCTTTCAATGTTTTAAACACTTGGTTAGAAAAACGATAATGACTAGTAACCACCTAGCTTATGTGCTTTATGGTGTCTTTTCAAAGTGAGAGTATAAATCATTGTACATAAAATCAAAATAGTTAATATACATTTTTTCTGGCACTTTCTAGAAATTAGGCGTTAAACATAAAACATCTTATAAATTTATATAACAAAAATAAATGTTTACATTTTAACCCCAGCTAGATTACCTTAGGGTAGCGGCTAATTTAAGGGCCCCTGCTGCTGGTGCGGCCCCACAGATCGCCAGAAACGCTGGTATCTAGTCCAGGCCCTTCAGGCGCGGTCACGGGCCATCCAGCCGCGTTTCGGGGGAATGGGCTCCGGGCTCCAACAAGTGTAGAGGGTACCACAGTGTTCACCCCAATACTGCAAAGGCTCTGATGTTTCAAATACTGGGGGGAGGGGGAACGTTTTGGCTAGAAAAATAAAATAAAGCATCTAAAAATGACTTCAAGTCCTTTGGGAGAAGCTGCTGACGTGGAGTGCCCGGATCCGAAGGCATGAAGGCCCAAGACCCTGGCGGGCGTCCCCAGGAGACGATGGGCGACCTGACGGTAGCAGCGACCGTGGTGGTTTCTTACCATCCGACAACACCTACGTTGAAGGCAAAGGCCAAGCCCTGGGGGTGAATTTCCTTGGAAGGAACCAGCAGAGATGGGGAGATTTCTAGGGGAACAGAGCTGACAGCCACAAGGCAGGAAAGAAGGAAACCTGGCTCTTCTGAATGCAGTCTTTAGACGGGGACAGCCTGGGACCTGTCCAGAGGTCACGGGGACGTGGGGGCTTGGGCTAGGGTGTGGCAGAGCCCACCGGGTGGGGCGCCCTGGGTGCAGCCAGGTGTGCACCTTCCTGTTCCCAAAGCTGAGCAACCGTCCCAGCATCTTCACTGCCCTCAGCCGCCGAGGCAGCCTGTGACGTGGAAGGGACAGCGCTCCTTGTCTTCTTGTCCCCAGACAGCTGGTCCTAGGCTGGGGGTGGGCTGTCCTCGGGGCTGCTAGAGCCTGGTGATGTCTCTGCATTGCTGCATGTCCCCGATGCTCTCGTAGTCATTCTCCTTTGGGGAGGGGCCGTGGTAGCCGTTGGTCCCCGGGATGGCCTTTCCATCCTCTCTGCTCAGAGCCTGGATGGCCTCGTAGTCGGGCTCGGGCTCCTCCCGGGGTCTCCCTGCCGGTGCCACCACACTGAAGCTGCTGGGAGTCTTCTCGAAGTCTTTAACAGTCGCATAGAGGTCATTACAGGAGGACGGGGACCTCCGGGCAGCTCCTGGGGTGGAGGTGTCGCTGGACTCTGGCACTTTAAGCGACTGTCCTGATTTATTTGCAGACTGTACAGGTTTATTTACAGATGAATACATGGCCGAGATCTAGAAAACAAAGGGACAATCAAATAACTGGATACAATTGACATACCACATATGTGAGTTTAAGGTGCACAACATGAAGATCTGATTCACATCCGTGCTGTGAAATGATTACCACAATGAGGCTAGTGAATACCTACATTGCCGTGGTACCAGTTTTTGGGTGTGGTGGCAACATTTAAGCTCTATTCTCTGAACAATCTTGAGTATATAATACGGAGCAGTATTGTTAACTCTAGCCCCATGCTGAACACAAGCTCCCCAGAACTTGTTCATCTTATAGTTGGAAGTTTGCACCCCTTAACCAGCATTCCCCATCCCCCCTCCAACTCCCCCCCATCAGCCCCTGGCCACTACCAGTCTACTCTCTATTTCTATGAGATCAGCTTTGTAAAATTAATTAATTAGTTATTTTAATCCTCACTTGAGAACATATTTTTATTGATTTTAGAGAGAGAGGGAGGGGGAGAGAGAGAAACATCGATGTGAGAGAGAAACATCAATCAGTTGCCTCCCATAGGTGCCCCGACTGGGGATCAAACCCACAACCCAGGTATGTGACCCAACCAGGAATTGAACCTGAAAACTTTTGATGGACAGGGTGATGCTTCAACCACCTGAGCCACCTGGCCAGGACTCAGCTTTTTTTAAGATTCCACATATATTTGGGAACATAAAGTCTTTCCCGCTCTGGCTAATTTCACTTGGCTTAATGCCCTCAAGGTCACAATGGGCAGGACTTCCTTCTTTTTATGGGTAGATAATATTCCACTGTGTGTGTATATTTAAATACTTTACACATACATTTTACATATCCATAAAATCACATTTGTCCATCGATAGACACTGAGGTTGCTTCCAAGTCTTGGCTGTGTGCATAGTACTTTGAGGAGCGGGCTGTTTTCCAAGCTACTCAGTGTCACTAACATACCCCATATAGTCTCTAATATCTCAAGGGATTTAATTTTCATTGGTGATGAGAGAGTAGTTGTGCAGATTAAGAGGTTGTCTGGGGTATTATTTTATTGTTAGAAATCATGGTTGGAAATAAGTAAACATCTCCTTCATTACGTGTACTTGTGTTGGCCACAGTGGCTGATTTATCCAAACACCCAGGAAATAAATGAACATACTCCCTGACAGATGCTCGGCTTTGCACGTGCGGGGAGCTTTCCCTGCTTCCGCAGCGCCCGCATGCTGTGGCTGACGTTCCAGCTGGCCCCGCAGGCTTCCTGCGACCTGCCTGCCGTGTGCTGGCTGGTCATTTGCACGAGGACGGCTGGCCAAGGCCGGTGGCTCACTGCAGCCAGGCCTTGATAACCCAAAGGTTTAGGCACAGGGATAATCTTGGGCAAAGTCTGCCCGAGGTGATCTGACCGTTCTGATGACTGCTCATTTAACAATCTCACCTTAGAGGTTTTAATGGAAAAATGACTCTCAGCAGGAAGACATAATTTCTTTGAATTTAGGAAGAATAAAAAAAATCGTCTTCTTTTCAAGGGAAGTACAAACATATGGAACTTTTTATCCTAAAAGTAGTGCAAGCCAGAATGTGGACAGATTATAAAGGGGTAAAGCGTGGATGCCAGTGATGAGGGAGCCAGCCATGCTCACCTCCCGGGGTCACCTGGGAGGACAGACACACCTGTACCTGGGTAGTAAAGGTGAGAGCTGGCCCCTCGCCACTGGTTCTGTTCCTCTCCTGAAGTTCCTTCCCCATGGAAGAAATACTCTTTCTAAAAGAATTACAGGCTCTTCCATTAGCTTGCAACTTAATATTATCTCTGGGCGTGAGCCTAATGGGCAGAGGGTGTCGTCATAAATTTTCTTATGTTTCTCACCTCTCCTAATGCTCCTTTTGAACATTCCTTCTGTGACTGTTGTTTCTGTTTTGTACACAGGTTTCTCTTCAAGCCCTTAGCTTTGAGTTTTTTCTCTTTAAAATTTTAGTGTTGCAATTTTTCTCTGTAACACCTTTCATTTTTATTACTCAGTCTGTAAATTGTTATGCTCTCATAAACTACTCTCTTCCTAGTTCCCATTTCTCTGCTTTTGACAGTCAGCTCTCTCCCCGTCATTCTGTTAAACTGGGCAATGGTACTTCAGACTCAGGTCTCAGTTTGTCTGGACTAACATTACACAAATACAGAAATACATGATTTCCACGTTTATTTTTCTTAAATCTTCCTCCTCAAATGAATATATATAAGTCACAGTTCTTTATTTAATGTTAAAAATTCATTAGTATACCTAGGTCCTATTTTCAAAAGCCACAAACAAATGTAAGATAAGAAGAAAAATAATTTAAAATTTTACATGGTCTTGGTTTATTTTACGTAAGATTTGTTGCCAGGTCTCTTATACATTCTATTTTCTTGTCCCCAAAGGGGGTGGCTATGGCAGTGTGGAAAACGCTGAAGGGAGGCCAGGGAGCCACCTCGGGCCAGGCGGGAGGGCGCTGTGGGATGGAGACAGGGACGCACGAGAGAGAAACTGTTTGGGGGTGGAATTGAGGGACTTGGCTATTGGCTGCATCTGAGGACGGTGAGGGAAATGGGGTGTCAGGATGATCCCCAGGTTGTGGCTTGTGCCACCATGCGGCTAGATGGCAGGTGCATTCCTGGGGGGACCCCTGGAGGGTGGGCGACGTCACCCTTGGCAAGTACTTCCACGTTTCGGTCCTTCACTCAGAGCCCCATGCAGGAGGTGCTGCGCCTGCATATGTCACCACTTCTGCACAGACAGACTTACTGTGTGTGCTGGGGGTTCCAGACAGCAGCGACTTGCAGCCAGGTCAGTGAAGGCACCGAGCTCTCTGTCTGAGCCTCGCTCAACATAACAACACACGTGATGGCTTTGACAATGTTCATGCTCCCCTGAAGTTTAACCAGAGGTTTCTCAGCCCCGGTGCTGGGAGAGCCTGCAGTCCGCTCTCGTTGGCCGTATGTCTGGCCCAGCCCAGCCTGGACCTGCACATCCTGAAGCTCCCTGCTCTCGCCTCCAGCATCCCTCACTGAGATGGGCTGCCTCAGTCTCCCCAGCTAGGTCAAATTCCCTGCACCCCCACCCCGTTCCAATTTCCTGTATTTTCCAGCCCACAATGACCTTCCTCCTCACGGGGACTTTGACCAAACTCTCATAATCTAAATTCCTCTCCCTTCCCCGGCCCTTCCCTCTCGTCCTCTCTCGATTGTCCTGATCCCTCTTTCCCACTTGGTTTCCGTTACTTAGCCGACCTGTCTGTCCATCCTGTCTGCCAGTCACTCCATCTGAGCTACTACGGAGCCAGCATCCAAACCCTGAGCTCCAGACAGGCTCCAGAGGGCATCTCAGCTTCTCAGACAAGGGGTCAGTGATGGTGCGTGTATGCAAGGAGGGGCGCTCTGGTCTGATTACAGGGCTTTCTGGTGATTAAAAAAAGCCATAAGACCTCCCCCTGGCCTGTGGCTCCATTGGTTGGGCGTCATCCCCCGGGCACCAGAAGATCGCCGGTTCGATTCCCAGTCAGGGCACACGCCTGGGTTATGGGCTCGATTCCCGGTGGGGGGCGTGCAGGAGGCAGCCGATCGATGTTCCACTTTCACATCAATGTTTCTCTCTCCCTCTCTCTCCCTCTCTCTCTAAAAACCAATAAACTATTTCTTAAAAGCTACAGAACTCACCTCTTCTTCTGTGAGAGTCGGGTCTTCCTCGCGGGACTTGTACGACAGGGAACTAAATCTCTGTTAGGAAACAGAAACCGAGGGAAGGCGGTGTGAAGCCAATACCCCAACTTCCTTCTGTGCGTGTGTTCACGCATCTATCTAGATGAATGTTTCAGGTGCCTTTTAGGAAATACATGATTTTCTACCATGAACGTATGTAAAGCGCCAAAGGAATAAACTCATAAAAGCCTCATGTGCGATGTGTTTGGATGCCCAGCAGTAGTACCTTTCTTCCAATTTTGTATTTAAAGCTGTCGGTACAAATAAGCCAGACTACTGTTTCAGTTCCTAATTGTCACTGAAGGATCGGTAATAAAAAAACAACCCATTGTGCTTCTTTATGGAATGTTTGAATTTTGCGTTTCTACAGTTTTCGAGAGTGATCAAAAAGTTCTCCGGGCACCAGGAAACTTCTCACAGCTAATGGAGAAGTCAGCTCGTGTTCTGTGGCCCGTTCCCTGCCTCGTTTCCCAGGGGTTCTGGCTCCTGGCTCACCGATTCTCCCTCTAACACGGCTCCTGCATAAATCAAATTCTCCCTGATTTCAACAAAGATGAGTCCTTTCAAACCCAGCGCTTTAGTCCCCTGACCCTCCCGCACTGCTCTCCTCCACCCGACCCGCTGCTCAGCCCCTGGCCGCAGGCCGGGCCTTCGGGTACCCCACTCCACAGCCCACCCCGCCCCACCACCCCAGCTCCTCACAACCCCCTTCAGGCCAGCACTCGGCGCTCAAGCTCACTCCTCCCAGGACCCAGTTCCAACAGCCCCTTTTCCAATGCCTGATTCTCCAGGCTGTCTTTCTGTCCTGCTGTATGGAGCTTAGACGCCAGAGTCCGCCTCACAGTGAAACTGCAAATGCTCAGCGCCCTCCCTGGTCAGGTGAACACAGCCTCACGGATGAAAGCTCCAACCGCGTTAGGCAGCACGAACTCCACATTCGATTATTCTCTTTGGTTGGATGAAGGGCAAAAAATTAGACTACGCTTTTGTATTTTATGACTATGCTCACTTTCGTCGGTGCTCCCCACAGCTGATTTCGTGGACAATATGAAAAGCTGAAACGCTGCAAAGAATGACTTACTTGCCGTAACCTATATAATCACAGCCAGGGCTCACCTCTGACCATGAACTCTGGACGGCTTTAGAGGCCCGTTACTGACTGACTGACCCCTAAATGGCCTTCCTACCAAAACCTTGCTTTTTTTAATGTAGAAAATAAAAATTAGATTAGTCAACTAAAGAAGACTGAGCCAAGTGAAATCCCAGGAAATGGGGGCAGCTGGAGATGAGAATTTCAAGCTACTGTGGCTCACACATCAAGTTGTCAGATGCACAAAGGGTCGGGGG